CCGGAAAAAGTATTCTTAAGCTCTTAAGGTTTATTTAACTCGTTATTCTTGAGTTGGAATTGTAACAAAGGCGAGAGACGGTTGCAAGAGCCATCTGGTTTAAGGCCTTTTTACTAACAGTGGAGGCAGTAGGATGCTGTGTTATCGCCTTTCTCTAATGGCGTGTGAAACGAAAATCGCCTTGCCTTCGCTTTGCTAAAATTGCAGTTTTGCTTGCTTCAAGCATTGGGGTTGAACTAAGCTTAGGTAATTGGATTCTCGTAAAGCTTAGTTCCGCTTGTTAGTTGGGGGTCCACTTTTTCTCACGTTGTGTGCACAGATGTTTTTCGAACTGCATTGTCAGATTTTCTGGTGGTTGATTCGTCATGGATGTGTCATTTTCTCAGTTTAGATAACGTAAAATTCCAGCATTGTAATTTTAATTTTATGATTTTTGAAAGCCTATGAAGTCACAGAGGTGGAGAAACCGAGATTTCCTGGGTGCTTGCACCCAGGCTAGAGTTCATTATTCCTGATTCTGATTTTGAAGCGAAGATCAAGAGGAGAAAGAAGTGGGGCTTGACCCCTGCGGGTCTTGCTTTCGCGAGCGCCGGCTTTTGCATTGGATTTGGAATATGATTTGACTCCTGCAATGTGAAGTTAAGCTGAAAAAAAAAGATCGGGACGTTTGCCCTGTTGCGGCCTTGCCTTGCTGCGGGCCGCGTGAACCAGCGAGCAGCGGATATGATTTTCTCTCGGCGTTTAGCTAGTGAGAATTTGCGTTGGCCTAAGGTCGTAGAGCATAGGTCGTAGAGCTCAGAATAGAATTTCGATTCTCTTGTTTCAAGAATTGTAATGCAGATTCTCGTGGGGATCCTGATGCGGTATTCCTGTTTTTACCGACTTTGACTTCCTAATTAGATTTTGTTCCAAAGGTGCTCTACGTTTTTGGTGGGTATCGAGGCTTTCAGAATGAAAGAGACTCGTGTAGGATCCGTCTAAGGTGTGCGATCCTGTTTATTCTGCCTGTGTCAGCTGCGTCGATTTTTTTTTCCATTCTTCGATGCTCTGGAATTTATTAATTGTAAGGACAGCTTCAGTGGTGTTTCAACCAAAACATCTTTAAAATTCGCACGATCTGTCTGTCTCCATTAATGATGATTTTGTGATTAAAGGACAGCAGGAATAATGTGGTGCTCGAGTAAACTTTGGACGCTGGACGATCTGTGGAGCTGTCAAATCACCTTATTAATCAGTTTACAAAGGTATTCCCGAGTAAAGGGAGTGTGCGGTATGGACTTCACCCCGTGAGTGATTTGTTTTTTTATTTGTTTTACTTTATTAATTATCTTAATACTCAAGCAAGAGTCGTCATTGGAATGTTTGTTGAAATTTGAGCAATTACTTAAATTAATTAATCGATGTGGAAATTATCAGACTTCTTAAAGGGAATAAATACTTAAAATTAGAAGATGAAATGGGAGAAATACTGGTGTTACTCTTATGATGCAGTAGGATGATAATGTTAATCTTAATTTTTGTAAGCTGTAATTGCGTGTGACATTATGTGTTACTTTTCATAGTAAAAGTATGTGGTAGTATTACTGATCATTTATCCATTATTTAGTAATATAATGATATTCTAGAATTTAATAAATGAGTGTTAAAAGATTAATTGTATTTGTGTTTTTATCTTGTGTATAATTTTACTGTGGTCTGTCATGTCCCTCCATTTGTTTGAGCCGGGAGGCTTTTAAGAAACATAGAGTTTTATTGAATTTGGAGTTATTGATTTTTCCTCTGCATAGGTTACTCACAACGCGAACCTAAAGGTTAAATTGTACTACCACTATACGAATGTTTATAAGAATGGCGATATGATATATGAATGTTTTATATTATATTTTTGAGTTAGTGTGTGCAGCACCATGAATCAAGTTTCAAAGTTTTAAAAAGTTATTAAAACCATTAATTTTAAGATATTCAACAATACCAAATTTTTTTTTTGATATAACACTGACCCGAAATGTCTTCTTTATACACACATTTTGGTTGATTTTGACCCGCAGCCAAAAAGGTTACCAACGTCTGTTCTAGACTTTTTCTTTTATTTTAATTCCCCCTTCTTTGTCATTACCAATGGCGTGTCACCATAAACTACGAAAACGTAATAGCGAGACAACTTAAGAAATAGAAAAATTAATAAACAAATAACGAAAACATTAAAAAAAAGAAGAAGTAACCGGAAAAAATAAATAAGTAAAGTTCCTTATCTGTTCCTTCTTTTTTCAAAAGTCAAATAAAAAAAGTAAAATATCTTGTTTACTTTATTCCCGCCTCTCCGTCTCCCAAAAGAAAAAAAATCACGAGTTTCCAGCAAAATATGCATCCAAATATACCTCAACATGCAGCGGGATAAAGTAAAGATTAGAGGAACGAAAATTCCATTTCACTTTTAAATTATACATTCATTTGTTTTCAAATTAAATGAGATGTTGGATTAGGGGGCAAAATATTCCCGATACTTTTGTATTTTACTTTTGCGCTCTTTTTAGAGAATGTGTTACTCACTGAAACATATTTTCTTCCGACACGTTAGTAATACCTCCGTTTAATGAATTTTGGGAGAGGTCTTTAAGAAAGTAGATTAAAAAAGATAAGTTATCCTTTTCTTCTGTGAAGGTAATTTTTTCAATCGAATAGGCATCGGAGAACTGCAGGATTCGAGCATACGGTTTTTCGCCATTTTGGCTTCTTTTAGTTAAAGTTTTGCATTTTTGTTTTCTTTAGTTAGTACGTAAAATATATTACTGATAAATACAAGCGGCTGAGTATGCGAGGGAGTTGAAAACAACCTCAGTAGAGTGCAATTTTTACAATAAATGTAACTTGATTTGAATTCACACTGTAACTAAATGAATAGTTTAAAATTATTATGTAAGAATATGTTTATATTTTTTTGAAAGCTTTTGTCTCCTAAATTTGCCTAGGTTTTATCTGTGTATGATATATTTACAGAGTGCTTGATAAAAATGATTAGAGCTCTCATTCTCTAAAGTCTGTACAGACCGAAAATTCCCGTTATAAAAATATTCATAATTCCTGAATAATTTAAATACCAAAAATGTATATTCCACAGATATTGGCAGCACCGTACTCAAGCACCACCTGAAAACTCCACACTGAACCTTTTCCTAATATAAAACCTTAATCAATAAAACAAAAAATATTTTATTTATAATCTCTTCTTAAATAATAAAAATATTGAATTTCTGACGAGACTAATCGTCAAAAAGTCAGGAAATTGTCTACATCTAAATCAGGAAACTTATTTTTGAACATTTTTGCAAATTTTTCGCCTAAAGTTATGGAATGTTTTATGTTCAGCGTTCGGGAACATAATGGATATTCGCTAATTCGTTTTCTTTACGGGGACCACATCGAAAATTAGATTCTATATTTATACAACATATTCATTCCTATGTGTCTCATTTTGAAAATCGCTGTAACTGAGCTTGTTACTTGCTTGTTAAAGCAGTCAATTTCAAATATGAAGTCAGTCTTTTCAAATGCCTTACGGATGGCATCTTTACCAAATTACATCAGAGAACTGCTTCATAACATGACTTAGATTTCATATATAAAGTTTATGCAAATGCCGTCAGATATACTTTTCGTCAGATCAAATGCTGTTCCTTTTCCATTTCTCAGATTTTTTGAACAGTTTCATTTGCTCCAAAATAAACTGGCCATCATTATATTCCTGTACATCGCCCTCTTTCTGTATTGAAGCTATGTTCACAAGATTATATTTATAAAACAAATATTTATCGGGCTCGCTAAAACATTTGTAATGCTATGTAGCCAAATCCCGAGTATACCATATAATAGGATTGAACCACGCATTTTAAATGCATGGAGATAGACAAAAACGTAAAAACATAACAAGCAGTTCATCAGAATTTTTTTAGTTAATGAATTTCGTATTTTTAATCACAGTTTCTAATTTTGATGTCAGCATTTACAAGTAATTTATCAAATCCATTAATTTTGTCGTTTTCCATCATAAGTGTTAATATTTCTTTCTCTTTTTCCATTAACATTTCCGTTTTCTTCTCCTGACTGTCGATGAGTTTTCCGTTATATATATTGAACAGCCGTTAAATATGCATGAATATGCATCGTCTTTTAACATTGGATGCTTTCTTGGAAGTCTTAAAATCGCATCATTTTTATCCGTGAATACATCTTCGCGCACAATCACATCTTCACGAAAATTGTACTTTTTGCTCTGTATGTGGTAAAATGTTTCATATTATGTCACCCTATTAATTCAAATAAATTCGTCGTTACTTCAAAAATAATAAATAAAGTCATATTTCAGTAGTGAAATAATTGCTAACATGTGATATGCATTGATTTCGGAAATATGATTTTTTTAAATATATGAAATGCATAACTTAATAACGTACTTTACAGATTAGTTTCATTGTAAAATATTTTGCTATAATATTTATAAAAAATATTTTAACAAAATTTTAAACAATAATTTAGCATGTATTTTAGTACTAATTGAATTTAACAATTCAAAATTATTTATATAAAATTTATATTTCATTAGATGAATCAACCTTAGATTAATACATTTAAATGAAATAAAGTAATGAAACATTGCAAAATAAATCTTATGAGGACTTCAGCATTCTAAAAGTAATGCTGATGAACTATAAAAAAAAAAAAAATGTTAAAACGACCACGTCTAAAAGAGGTCATATCATGACGTTTCAGAGACGTCGACAAATTTCCAAGATGGAACGGCAAATATTTTGCGTCTTCGCTGCGTTGTAAAGACGTCATAAAAGTTACCACGACAACTTTGCAACTTCTCGGACCTGTTTGCAACGTCTTTGCTACATCATGTGCTACTTGGGTTTATGATGTATCTATTCCTACTCTTCATTTCTTTTCAATCTGTGAATTAAATATTACCATGTTAAATGTTTTTTCTTTATTCTTCGCAGCGCCTCCAACATTCATCCACGAACTGCCCGAGATCAGGGGTGCAGCTCGAGATTCTCCATTTATCAGCTTCGAGTGCCGCGTGGAATGCGAACCTCTGTGCGAAATCTTCTGGATGAAAGACGGTTTGAAAGTCACCAATTCCGAATTGTATATCATAAGAAATCGAGTGTTACCTGAAGATCATCTGAACAATTATTTCCGATCGATATCCAGTAGTCTGCAATTTAATATGACAGCCTGGCCTGGACGAAGACTTGAGCGAGACCGGGACAGAGCCAACTATACTTGCTTTAGTACTCCTAACGATGTGGGAGATGGTGTCTCTTCCTCTATGCTCTTTCTTGTAGAATGTGAGTGAAAATATTCTTGTTACATTTCTGTTATTATGATAACCATTTAAAAGGACATAATTGTTATTTCCCTTACAAGTTCGCTTTTCTATATTTATTATTCCTGTGAATATTAATGTGTCAGTAAAGGCGAATGTTAGCAAACTGTCTTTCTTAACATTACTGTAGGATACTAATTATTGGAGTATATAAATAGCCAGTTAAATACTGCCTAAATTATAAAGCGTAAAAGTAATCTTAATAAAAATAATAATAAATAGTAATAAATAGTAAAATTTATCTAAGGTAATAATAATAAATCTTAAATTAATGCTGAAACGTAAAATTAATAATAAAGTCTAAATTAATCTTCATAACTAAAGCGTAAAATTAATTTTGAAGAAATATGAGAAAACAATTTTGAGTTTTAAGTTTTAAAAAATAACTTTGAGGTTGTAAGAATTATTTTTAATCGGGTTCGATTAAGATAAATTGAGGCCGTAGGCACGGTATTTTTTCAACCGTCCTCACAGTTCATTTTTCTTATTTCCATCAAAGAAAGCTAGAGCTGTAAGAAGTTTTAGAATTATTTGCACTTCCTCAGATAGCCATAGGCCTGGACCTGGACCTGTGGGTCTCGGAGTTAATTAATTCTAGCTTGGCATCAGCTCAGAAAAAATGATTTTCATATCAGTATAGCTGACTAGAAGAAAATGCTGATACGATATTTGCTATTAAGCTGAATAAAGAAAACTAAGGAAACTTGGAAAATTATTAAAAACTGATTTTGGACATTCTCACCACTAAATTAATGTAGACTTCTTTTTCCTCCTGTCTCACAACTTCTAAAGCTTTTATAGATAGTTTGACCCTATAATTTGTTTTTAAATCTTGCTAAGATAAATGGAAACATATTTGTTTATTGATGATTTTGATATTTATGGGATATCTGTGAATATAAAAATAATGCTTATTAAAGTTTTGAATTTTTCGAAGCAAATTATATTTTTTATTGTTTCGGATTTTTCAAAGCAAATTTTCGATGAGATATGAGTAAATTTCTCAGACATCTCAGTTGCTGATTTTGTGTCAAGTATTCGTGTGTAGAAAGATGAATGGTACATAGAAATACTATTACTTCCTGTTCTAGGTTAACATTATTTCGGTGTCCACTAAAACATCGCGACAAAAAAATCGCAGACGGAAACGTCGCTGAGAAAACAGAGCAAGCGAAAACGTCGTGGTACAAAACATTGTAGGAGAAAAGAAGGCAAAGGAAAAACATCGTGGCACAAAGTATCGTCATCGAAAATAAGGCGGTTCAGAAACATCGTCATCGAAAATATGGTGATAAAAAATGAAAGTACCTACAAATCATCGTATGACGATAACATCGCAGACATGCATTTTTCACATTTTAAAAGCTGTAAAATGCATTTTCGCATAATGATTTGGGAGTGCAAGAAGGGAAGAGGAGTATTTTTACTTTTATGTTTCATATTTTTGAATGAACTAATAAATGTCTACTGGAAAAGTAAGAAGGAAACTTAATCATTTAAAATGTTTTAAAATGAGTAGACAATTAATGCAACTTATGCAGCTTATAGCACGTAATAGAATTTTAAATTTTCATAATTAATTAAAAAAGATAATTAATAAATTATTATTTATTTTAAAAAGTTTTACTCATAATTTTCCATGTAAAATAGAGCCTAAAAACGTTAGGAAAAGGAACTTTCTTTCACGTTTGTTAATCTGTTATTGTTTTGGTGAACATTATTTCTTGTTTTGCTTCCATTTATTCTTAAAGTGTCATTAACATTTCTTGCACTTCAAATCTTTATACAAATATGCATTTATAACTTTTAAAACTTGAAAAACGTATGTACGCGATGTTATCGTCATGCGATTTTTACCACGATATTTTCGACGACAATGTTGTTAAACTGTGAAGTTTTTGACCTGCTTCATTTTCGACCACGATATTTTGTAACGCGATGTTTTAGAACCCTTTGCTTTCTTTTCTCTCACGAAGAAATCTCCCACGTTCCCCATGATTTCCCCCACGTTTTTCACTTTGCGTTGTTTTCTTCGCGACGTTTTCGTCCGCAATAATTTTGCCGCGATGTTTTCGGCTGTAACTCATTATTTCCATTTGCGAGGCTTTCTATATGTTTTGATTTATTTCATGCTTGTGGTTTTGCTTTGTTCTTCAAATGAGATTGGAAACGCCGGCACCTTTTCTTACTTAAAATTAATCATTTTGTTCTTATAGTTATTCCTCAGACTACGGACCTGTACAATTTAAAACATTATCAGTAATACAAACAAAATAGTAAGAAACTGTTGCATTTCAAATTTAATTCACTTTTAATTTCCAAGTTTAATTTGCTTCAAATTTGGTTTGTTCGTTTTGCACGCATTAGATGGATTTTTGATAGAACTTTCAACATTTTACGAATAGCCCACTATCTAGCTCCATTAGCTAGCCACTAGATTTTTTCTTGATTCGGTCTTAAACCGCTTTTTAACGATTAATCTTCTTATTTAATTTATTTCATATAAACATGTCAATGAGCATCAACAAATCGAATGAAATTATGTCATCAAACATCTCTTATACGTATTTATTGCTTTCACTCCCTGGATTTGTCAACTAGTAAAATACAAAGTACTCCAAATTAACAGAATATTCTAAAATATGCTGCAAACCTCGTGTGCAAGAGATCCAGTAATATGAACTCATGTCTTGAATATAAAAAATGTGTCTTCATATAACAACATCTGAAATAATTATTTTTCATTAAATAAAGGCATAAAGTCCACATAGCATTAATTAATTTCGAATCTTCATTATTTAAATTATTTTCCTATCATTTTTCTTTGCTATTTTTGCCAGTTCGTTTTAAATATTAGTTTTTTATTCTGTACCTTTAATTTCTGTGGTCCTTATTCTTGAACTAGTAAGCTTATCTTAACTGCTTAGCTAAAAATTGGTTTAATTATTAAAATGAAATTTTATGCCAAGATCAGACTGGAATTCCATTTTAATCTTATGATATGTATACTAACGTCGTGAAAAGTAAATTGTAAGTTCTTAGAAATGATAGACTTCGAAATTAGATTTATAGATTTCAGCTTATTTTCTTAGCTTAAAATCCCTTAATTTTTTTCAATAGCTCTTAATCAAGTTATGGTTGTTGGGCTACGTCTTAGTATATTACAATCGCAAACTGGAGCTTTAATGGTAATAACAGCAGCAAAAGAACCAACTGTCCAAATTTGTTAAAACTTTCCTTAATTTTATTAATCGATATTCATGTAACTAAGATTCCTTATAGTAAGTTGGCATAGTTTTCTTTTGTTACATATTACGGATTTGCTTTATAGATCTTTTACAATTCGTTGTTTCGCAGATCCTCCCGAACTGATGAGTCTGTCTGAAAATGTGGTAAGAGTGCGTGAAGGAAATGTGCCTCCAGATGTGGAATGCTCAGCTTCTTCATGGCCTCCCAGCACTTATCTTTGGCTGAGAGACACAAAAGTACTCGCAAGGGACGAGACACTGTCTTTCAATCAAAGCGTGACTAGAGAGCACATGGGAACGTACATCTGTGTTGCAGAGAACAGTCACGGGAAGTCGCAAATAGAGCTGAGACTAGAAGTGCTATGTAGGTACAACTGCATGTTTTGTGATTTTCATTTCTTAATCACATACTCCGTCTAAATTGACTGCAAATTTTATATTTACATAACTGAAATTATACTTAATTAAAACAAACAATACTTCCCTAACAATGAAAGCCATCAAAATGAAAGATCAGCATCAGTTTTCAACAACAATATATCCAAATGATTTGAGTGATACAGAAAATTATCATTTTCGAAATACATTTTATCGAGTGAATTAGTATATTCGAAATGAATTACATATTTTAAAAATAATTGCAACAACAAATCGATAAAATAAAAGTTTACTTTTTTATTTTAGATATCTTAAGAATAATTAAGAAGAAAAATATGTTTTCTTTCCGTTACACTTCTTATTAATAATTATTCTGTCTTTTCCATATTCCTGCTGATTCGATACTCATGATTTCAATAATTTATCATTGATTGTTAATTATTCAATCATTTATTGCGATTCATAGTGCGCTAAAATTTTTAAAACCTGAAGTTGTAAAGTTTTTATGATATGAAAGTTTTGCCTTTGAATTCGTCAGACTGTAATGACACAATAAATGATATAAAAGGCAACTGATATGTGTTCGTTACTGCCTTCTGTCAGCAATATACACATTCAGTAAAATTAAACACCAGCAATTCATGTTTTATTTCATTTTTAGCGAGTTGGGAAAATAATATGATTTTTGCTTTATTATTCCTTAAAATTAAACATGATGTTGTGCAAATTAGGTATAATACATTTTATTGGGCTCTTGTCTCGTAAGAATAAAAATAAAATGTGAAGTCTCTTTCATACGCATGACAGAAAGAAATATAAACACTATAAATTTACAATTATTTTATATTTATTAATTTATTTATACTATAAATTTACAATGCAGCATTGGATACTTTTTTAATGTTGATAATACTATTTTATTCTCAGTTATCAACTAAAATTCATCATATTACATAAAGATACGTGAATATTGCAATAAATGCAATATTCACGTAAAAGCATATTCGCGTTTCATTCGCAATTTCATGTAACCATTAAGTCCTTGGAATATGCTGTCGGGGATGCTGGCTATTTTTTCATCGTCCTGAATTATTCATTAGAGAGAAAATATTATTAAAACTATATTATGTTATCCGTAAACTATAATTCAGTTATTTATCGTAGAAAATGTTTTGTGAAAGAATATCTACTGAAAATGCTTTAATGTGAAATAAAAGCAAACTTAATAAAATGTGTAGCTGTTAAGCGGCCTATATTTTTGCTTCTTTTTTGTACGTAGAAAAGGAATATATAGCAAAGCAATGCTTTTTATTCAGTCATTGGTGTAAAGTGTCATAAAGCAGAGTGTAAAGTCCCTTAGAAAGCGTTAATGAAGGTTCATTGTTAAATGTAATGCACGACTGGCATCGGTCGCTTTTTTTAACAAAAGTATCGAAAACAACCCGATGGAAACTTCACCATTCATGTTTCAAGGCAATAACCAGGTCCTTTTATACTCTGTTGGATATTCCACCTTTGTAAAGCAGCTTACAGAACCATCGCATGCAAGCTCGGGATTTCGGATGAGGAAATTATGCAAGTAGTTTCTTCCGTTTCCTATACTTTCCAATAAAATATCAACACAAAATGAATAATAAGAATGGACTTTATCCTGTAAAAACGTGAATTTCTCTCAGTACTGTTTAGAAGCAGCTGTTAAATAAATCTCCACAGTGCTAAGATATATATATATAATATATATATAAAACTCGAATAAAATATTGTATATATATCTGTAATAGATTCAGTAGTAGAACGCGGGTGGTTGCATCCACAATGAACAGCTAGAATTTCGACGCCGTAGAATGCTGAAACGCCGATCCACAAGGAATAAGAAATTTGACAGTCAAGGTATATTTAATTTAACTCTTATTCCAGTAAACATGTTGCGGCCACAATCAAGTTGGCACATTAATTATGCCTGTTCCAAAAGGCTTACATTTTTGATAACTTTATAGCAAGAAAGCAGCAGTAGACAGACAGTAGTCGAACTAAGCCGAAACGGGAAAAGCAAGTGCGTTATGTTCAGAGTGAAATCTTAATTCAGACTGAGTAAGTATTGGTTCTCAATGCATTTTGATTTGGATGATCAATATTGCTGTAAAATTACTATTGGCTGTTTGAGTTTTACATCATCAGAATTATGTAAGAGTCATATGACATAGATTTTTCTCGAAATGACACAGTACAAATAGAGGTTACTATTTTTAGAATATAGAAGGGAATTGATTTTTCTGTTAATTTAATCTTTTACATATGCTTTATTTTTCTTACATATATATAATGTTTCAAGAATTTACAGTTCATTAATGTTCTTGATCTAAAAATACGACATCCATTTTACAATTAATGTTATTTCAATACAGTTTTAAACCCACTGCTTCAAAATGTTAGCTTTATTTCATTATTACATGCTCTCATATTAATAGAAATATCTGTGCTTCTACTCAGCTAGGTATTTCACCTGGCATTTAGCAGCGCGTCAGACTGCACAACGATCAATAAAATGACTTCTTTGTTCCTAGTCTTCCGTCAAGTTCTTAAGTGATAAATGTGTGCTAGAGCCCACCTATGGGACTTGTCACAGGTCTTATAGCTCCAGTTAAATGTATGATTCCTTTATTATTTATGGTGCAATTAGATACAAAAAGCCAAAAAATTTGCATATTTATTCCAAAGGAGTTTGTCCCTGAAGGACTATTGTTTTCGTTTTGCGATTTTGCTTTGAAACCTTTAAAAGGCTGTATCACTTTTCAAATCGTTGCCACCAAGTACTATCGCCCTGTATTATATTTGAAGAAATTAAATAGTGAAGAATCTGCATAAATGTATGTATTTTTCTCGCTTTGTGATAAAACAACGGTACATAGAACCATCCAGTTTTGAATGACGTAATCCTCCTGCGAATACGGGCATTTCAAAGCCAAAATTTGAAATTTGGAATTTGTTTTATTATCGGTTTCATATTTTGCAAAACTTAACGAATTTTTGATTAACAAACTCAGCGATTTCAAAGCGAGCAATTTCAACACTATACGTGGGGGAAAAAACCTTTTTATCTACAGCGCGCGGAACTGTGTATCGGAAATTCTAAAGATACGCTCATTTTAAAATCACTTTGCGACATTGCTGTTAAACTGAATTTTATGGTTAAAGTGCAAAGAACATGATATTTAATAAATAAAGGTAACACACACAACGTTAAAAAAACGCCCCTTTGAAACGTAATTTAAAATCTGAAACCTTTCAGATTTTTCGAATTATATTTATTTCCTTAAAAAACAGCAAGTCGATACTTACATTTTTGTAACCATACCAATTTTTCTTCTTTTACCAAATAAAATAATTAACAATTAAAAAATGTTTGCTTAAAATAACCACTGTATTTCTCATACACAAAAATAGATATACCATTCAATAATATCACTGGCAATCGTTGTCATGTGAAGAGATATAATATTGTATTGAATTGATTTATTAATTACAATAAAGCACATAGGTGCTATCTGTTTAAGCTCTCTTGAGATTTTCACGGAGATAAAACTGGGGAATAGAATCTGCGACCACTATATCTTTCTTCTCTGGTCCCATACTTCTCGACAATACATTTTAATTGATAGAATGTTTAAATGTCATCCATTCCTAAACAACATTGCAGTTAAAAATACCTATACGTTATCAAAAATTAGAGCTTGAGCCAACTTTGTGTCAGTTAATTATCATTAGTTAATCACCATGTGATATGGCCCTGATAGAACACTTTTCTTAACATACATAACTAAATTCTTAAGTGGACTAAAGTAATTTAATAATTAATCATAATACATCGTCTACTCTTTTTAAGTTTGAAAAACTAGCTAGAATTTGCGAATCAAATTGATTTATGTAACTGGAATACAGCTCTTCTTTAAATCAATAATACTAGCATCTTTCTTAATTCATACTCAGTCATAAAAACAAATGGAATTTTTTATTTATGAATTATTTTTCAAAATCAGTAAGTGTAACTGAAATGTTTGGAATCTGATACATTACAACTTTAAAAAACTTAAATATCATAAGGCAAGAAATACAAATTAAATGAGCTAATAAATTTCCAAATATTTAATGAATTTATTAAGTCGTTTTGTCAAAATAAAAAAAATCTAATTTAATAAAGCGAAATGGATTCTTTTATTTACTACTATTATTCTAATAGCGAAGCTGAAGCTGAATATGATGTTATATGCGATTTCATTTATGGAGTAATTTTAATAGTAATTTTTATCCCCCTTCAGAAGAGCAAGTTCGAAACGTATATTTTATTACTCTATTTGCTTACCATTGCGTTTAACGTTTACAGATTGCCTTTTTAATGCAGCTTCACTTCACTCATGTAAAATAATTTATAATGTGAGGCACATGTAATATTTTAATTATGTTTCTCTTTTCATCTTCTGAGAAGATTAAAATGCTATAAAATTAAACAGCATTTTTTCAGACACGTATGCGTTTTACTACGCAGAAATAAAGTTTTGTGGCTTTTCAAATGGTTCTGTCACGTTAATGGTTTGCATTAAGAAAATAGTATTATGAGTGCGCTATTAGCTAACGTGGGTTATTTATTAGTATTCCTCTTTAACGGGCACCGCGTGCTGATCTGTGTTATATAAAATATGACCAATGACGACAAGAAATATAATATTGTTGCTTTCAGCGGGTACATGGATTTGGAGTAATTGATGATAACACTTGGATGAAGAATCAAAACAAAATTCGTTCGCCAGTATTACACAAAACATTTCCAAAGACACGTTTACAATAGTCGAAAAATTACGTTAAACATGTTGAAATAATCACCAACACAGTTTTCAGGGTATAACGCTGAAGGCAGCTTCACGGCAAAGCACTGAAGTACAGCTCCCGACTCGATTGATCGCTCACAAAGTAATCTCTGAACTCAAGACACAACTACTACTTTATCCGCGTACAGGCAGGCTATATATAGCTTTAACCTACCTTCGAGAATATTCCCGAAAACACCTTTAAGGATGCGTTCTAGAATGTTCTCGTTCCGTCTATGGCCAATTTTGTCTCGCCAAATATGACAACTTTGCCTTTCTCTGCCACTTTCTCGCAACCCTAACCCCGCTTTGCAGGAAAGCTGTCTCACCTCAGCTCGGCATTTAGCAACAATATGTTACATTTAAATACATTTTGAGTCACTCACTAGGTGCGAATTACTTTTACCTCGGTAGGCAAATATAAACATTTATTTTCTAATCAGTCATATTCTGGATTAGCAGTTGTCAAGTG